CTGGTAGCGATGCAAGACAGCACCGATGGACATTGGGAACGAGAGATGAATGCCGCATCGGCGCCGCTCCTCAGGTAATATATCCTAAAATACCCAATGCACCAACGGACGGCGTGCCATTGGTAAAAGGAAAAAAAAAAAGAGAAAAAAAACGGGGAAAAAACCGTGAGGGTAAACAAAAGGCTTCAAGGCTTCAATGTTCATCGAAGGACCCAAGCCAACCCCACCTCATATCTCGACGTTTTGCTTGCTGTGTTGGGATCAAAGTCTTGGCGTGATGGAATTCATGTCGCGTGAGGTGCCCACACTGGACTGGACGCCTTGAGGCATGGAACTTGCTCGTAGGAAGAGTAAGAAAAAAGAAGAAAAAAAGGCCTGCTGCAAATTCGGCCAAAAGTCCGTTCAGGGAAGCGCGTCCGGCGGCATTAAAGACGGGCAGTTAATTACATTGCCCACATTGGCTCGAGGGTCAAACGCCGATAGTGGAGGTTGTGGGCAATTAAAGCCCGTTCTAAACTGGAAGGAGACGATCAAGTGTACAGGTGTGCCCAATACAGCATGGCCTGGCCGGCCCATGTGGTTGGTTCTCTTTGTACTCCGTAAGCTGCCCCCGGCCTGGCGACCTCGCCGCCAACCGGCGACGCGAAAATTCTCCCAGCAAATCGTTTGTGCGCCATCTGTCCCCTTCGGGACAAAGGCAGAGCCAAAAGGGTATGCCCTCCCCCAACCTTTTTGCGTCAGCAGGCCGGGGTGACCCCCATTCCCACCAGTGTTCCGTTCCAGCGCCATGACGAGAATCAACGAGAAAGATCTGCTACGCATCCTCATAACCCCGGATCGGAGACGCATTCTGTCTCCTCTTATGATAATCCCGCCGACATCCATCTCTTCCTCGCCCTTTTCTTGTGTCAGAGCGTTCTTCCCTTCTGCCAGGCGGACATGTCGTCGCCCCCTGCCTCTCCCCAGATCTCAAAAATCCATCATCCCTGGGTTTTCAAAGGTCATGATCATCCTGGCCCCACCCCCGACGGCTAGACCCTCCTTCTGCCAACTCGAGTCCATTTCCGATATCGAATCCATGGGGCGGGAGCGGCATTCTCACACATTCTACACATTATGCACAAACCTCGCATCTTGCCTCTCTTTCATCTCCATCCCTCTCCCTCTTCACCCCTCCTCTTTGCTTTCTTCTCCCACCTTTTCCCTCTCCTCCCGTTCCTCCTTGTTCCCAGTTGTTTATCACTGCCCGGTTGTTTCAAGTTCACTTGCTCTTTGAGCGCCCCCTGTCAATCCGCCCAGGTGCCGGGAAACTTGCGAGCTCGTCCTCTCACATTTCATACTTTCCAGGCCTTGCGAATTTGTTAAGACAAGTTGTGCGAGCTAGGGATGGGGCTTTTCACCCTTCCACACCTTCAACAGGACCTGATCACAAATGGATCGATTGATCAATGTAATGCTTCCCTGCCGGAGGTCGAGGTTACATGCGAGAACTCTTGAGTGACTGGGTCATCTTGGGGACAAGGACGTAACAGGCCACGGTCACGCAGGTCACGCAGACCCATACCCTAAAAAAGACGACGTTGCCCAGAGCCATCACGCAAATACGGCTTCGTGCAGTGAAATGCGAAATATGCCCCTAATGCCATGTTAAGACTGTTGTTGAAGTCGAGACAATATGGCTGGCGGCCTTTGCCGAAGAAGAATTTGTTGCCCGCAGGCTCATACATTAACCTATGTGCGCGACTAGGTCGTTTCTACTTGAGAAAATAAATCAAGGCAGGTGTTGATGAGGGAATCTAGTTAACGGATGGAATCGCAGGCGACGGGCATCTTCTCCGAAAGACCTCTCAGGCTTTTTTTTTTTTTTTTTTTCTCGGGGGCTTTTTGTGGTGGGGGAGGAAGAGCAGTTTTTGTTCACCTTTTCTTCCCTTCCCTCTAGGTCTTTATTTATCCCTCAAAGCGAGGGATTGAGTACTTAACAAAGCTTCAACCGGGACGCATGCGGCAATAATCTTGGTTACAGGATTGGCCATGCAATCGAGTTGTCATTCCTGTTTGGACACCTTTTGGGAGGGCAGGGGTGAGGGGAGAAAGTTACCTGGCCTTCCTCAGCCCGCAGACGAAAGGGGTTTAAAGGATGAAGATGTCCCCGACTTACAGTTCCAAGCATACACGTATATGAAAGGGGCCAAAAAAGCGGCCAGGACAAGATCGTGATTTTGGAGCCTCGAGCCGCAGCGGGTACAAGCAAATAGATCATCCCCTAGCAAGCCTAGGAGAGGAGGCGTGTGAAATGGCCAGGAAAAGTTCGAAAAGGCAGGCGAGCTGATGTTTTACGGGGATTGCCGAAGAGAAAATGTGAGGTTTATAGCATTATTAACGAAACAAGGCCGACAAGGCAAGACCAGGGTCGTCTCCTGCCAACTAGGCCCTAACATCTCTCTCCATTGGGAAAGTTGAGCAATCTTCCCAGCGGCGCCCGGCACAATCCTCCTCAGCTTTACTTCGCTGGACTTGGCTTGCACTTGCGTTCCGTCAGCAAACTCTACTGTTTTGTTTTTCACACGGAACACGGATTGACCTCTTTTAGTGTCGCCCTGTTCCTTCTTTGGAGGACTCTAGTCTGATTCGAGCAAGGGCTTGGGCCTTTCCAAGCGAACATTATCCCACCTCCTGGCCAGGGACGGTGGAAGACTGGCCGTCGACTTGAGACGCGCTGACCTTCCCCAAAGGCGGCATTGAGTATCATCAGCTAAAAGGTTGTTATGTGTACACTTTTTAGATACCTTCTTACTGTTGTCTCCTCTGCCTAGACCTAGGTCTTCCAGTCCCACCCAAGGCTCCGTCTGCATTTCTCCCTTCCACCCTCTCCACCTTCCATTGTTTTTTTCTTTCCCTTTCCCGCCCTCTTTTTCCCTCTTTTTGTTTTCTTTTCGTTGATTTTTCTTCTCTTTTATTTTTATTTCTTCCTTCTCTTTTCTTTCTCCTCACTCTGCGCCCTCCCTTCTACACCTCTCGCTCCACCTTCGCTTTCGTTCCTCTTTAAACATCCTTTCGCGCTCTCACAACCTGTCTTCCCGTTTTCTACCCGCCACCTGCCACCTTCCACTAGGATAAGGAGTGGGCCTCACCATTCGCTCAACTTAAGCCCTCACTGCCTTTCACCTTTCACCTTCCTCCTTTCTCAAGCCTCGCCTTTACCGCACTCACACGGAAGACCCCAGGATATTGCAACACGATACATTCAACCTTCTGCATATACTACCCTAATCTTGGCTCCCAACTGGCACCCAATTAGTATTTGCTCTCACCCCTTCGCCACGCACCATCTCCCAAACCTTGATCTCAACCTACTTTGGTTTGCCTGTCAACTCAAATCGGAAACTTTGCCGACACAGTAAATATTCTTGAATTCAACAAACTCGTTAGGGCTAGTCTGAGGACCACACCACCAGTCAAGAGTCTCACGTTATCCTCATCACGCTTTTCCCTTATCGAGATTGGACGGCTTCTCAGTTCGCCGCTGATACTCGCGCTGGGTAGCACGCGTACTCTCACTTGAGCGTCCTTCGTCCCTGTTAGCCATTGAAACTTTCGACCCCATACGGGAGCTGGTCAACCATCTCAAGCCAGAGCCAGGACCAGAGCCGTAACTGTCCCCCCTCTTTGTCTCTCTCTCTCTCTCTCTCTCCCTCTCTCCTCTCACTCACTTACTCTTCTCCACGTCTCTTTTCACACAACTCGTTTGTTTTCTCCTCATCCTTTTCCCTCCCTTCACTCAACACGTTTTCGAGCAATTGACTGGAGCACGCGTTGCTGTAAATGAAATAACAGGACTGACCCACTGTCGTGCGTCTGGCCTGCTGCCGCAAAACGGGGTTTTTGCCATAATAAGTGTGCAGAACCAGAGCGAGTGGTACTCTGTGGCTGCAAAAGCGTCATTCACCAGTTGGATTCAGCCCACACCTGACATTACTTTTTCTCCCCTTTCCTTTTATCTGCTCTTTTTCTACTTCTTTTTTTTATCCCCCTTTCTCCCACGACGGTCGGCATCAATCCTCACCCACAGACTTCTCACCCCAAAAGGTACTGTCGTCACGAGCAAGGGTCCTGGAATAGCCCAGTGCCCACTCCCGCCCTTGGTTGACAAGACATTTACACTACACCCCTGGCCCATTCCTGCTCTCTGCGCACCCCCTAACCAAGACTTTCTTTCTTCTCTCCCGCGCCTGGTCTTGGAAAGCCGCAAATAACACGCCCGGCCTAACCATTCCCATCCAGCGCCGAGTATCTTGTACATGCGCCGTCCACTCCTACCCCTGCTCTTTGATCTGCCACTCCCCTCCCCCCTCTCCTCCTCGACCATTCTGCACTTCCCTACCTTGCCTTCCCTTCATACCCTCAAGACTTGCCGACCTTCCACCTCCAAAAGAGGTTCCGCATCTGTGAGTAGTTGCGGACCAGTTATAGATTCTCTCTCCAATACCTTCGCCCCAAGTCCCACTCCATTCAAAGCAAGCAACTTAGGACGGCACCCCAGTTCTTCCCGTGCTCTCACCATACTAGACGTGCTCCGTTTACCCATGCGACCTAAGAACCAATGACTAAATGAAGTTGGTCTCGCCCGTCTTGCGGTTTCATAATCCACTTCGCCGCCTCGACACACACACGCATCTAAGCTGGCCGCCATCTCCAGCTTGCTTCTTTCGAAAAGGTTATATCCACCTCCCGCCCCCACTCAATCTTAGCTTCTCCCATTCCACCTCACCCCGGACCGAACATTCCACATCGCACCGCCACTCATTCATCGTGCCATTGATCTCTCCGTGCAACTCTCAGGCTTCCCGTTTCTAGTTTTTTATCACCTACTTGGGTTTCTCTCATCTTGCACCTACGCTGTCTTGCCCTCTGTTCACCGTTGTCATTGTCGCTTCCGCGCCCTAGTCTTTCGAAGTTTTGTTCTTAATGTTCTACGAGACAAGTGGTTCTAACCTTTGACGATGCTTGCCGTCAAGCAGTCTACTCCCTTCACGTACAAGTCGGTCCATGACCTACCGACTCCTCCATCGACATCGAGAACATCGCCACCGTTGATATACCAAGACTACTCCAAACCGTCAGCCATCCCCCGGTCTCACAGCCCTCTGAGACTGCCCATGTCGGCCCACCACCGTGGCCTGCCTCCCCGGCGGCCATGACACTATCATCCCAGCCTCCCCGGGCTCTGGACCTCAGCCATTGCCCTCCTCTCTTGGCCACGCCCCCGTCTCTTCACCACCACCAACAACAACAGCATCATCAGCAGCAGCAGCAGCAGCAACATCCTCACTCAGCGTCCCATCCGCCGGCACCGCCGTCTCAGCAACAATCGCAACACGCCGCAACTCTCGGCCAACTACCTGCCCCACCCACATCATGGCAGGGAGGTGAGGACGCAATGCGGAATTGGCTTGTTGCGAAGGCAGAAGAGGATCGAAGGAAGCAAGAAGAGGAACGAACCCAACAAGAGACTCTTCGCTTAGAACAGCGCAGGCTCGAGCACGAAATCTTAAGAACGTCGCTAGCAGGTGGGATCCCCCTCCTATGGTTCCAATCGTCTTTGCTGGTATGGGGGTGGCACACTCCCCAGACTGCATTGGATTGGGCGCAGCAGTACATGGCATCTCAGGCTCCAGGCCATAGTGCCATGGTTGCTCCCTCCGCAGGAGGAACTCAAGAGCGGCGAAGAGATTCCCAAGGCCAGCCCTACCCGCAATACCAAGCATCCGTTCCGTCAACTCCTGGTGGCACGGCCCAACACCCGTCCGCGACCTACCAGTTCCCCGCTTCTCCGACGAGAGGCCGGGGCCACACCGTTTCGACCATGCCGCCAGGAGGAAGCCGATCTCTTGGTCCGATTCCTAACCTTCCCCATCTTAATACCAATATTCAGCAACAGCCCCCGCATCATCAGCCTTCAGGCCCGTCTCATCCACAAACGCAAGCGCACTCTGAGGCCCAAGCTAGCCCGATTTACTTTCATCATTGGCAGCCTCCTAATACGCAGGGAGAGAGCAGTGGCGGTGGTCCCGCCCAGCCGCCTGCAGCATCTGGTTCGTCCAAGCCCAAGAGAAAACTCACTCTAGGCTAGACAGACTAACATGAATTTTTTTCTTCTTTTTACGTCATTAGTAGGCGAGCCACCGAGAAAACGCAAAGCGACCAGTTTGCACCACAGCCAGTCTACATCACACCCCGACAACGGTCACCCCCTATCCGCAGCATTCTACCGGGCTGTCAAACCCACCTCGGGGACTACGGAGGGGCCATCAACGCCAGCAAAGCGATATATCGTCCTACACGTCGTATCGCCGTAGGGAACAGGACAGTGTGGGCCCGCCGACTCGAGGTGTTTCGCCCAGCCACCCACACTTACCGAGTGGGCGGGAAGCAGCGATGAGCGGCGAAGGAGAGAAACCCAGAAGCGGTGGGGGCCACACCGTGTCTTCACTTCTCACGAACGAACCCCTCGGGGCGCACAATATAGCAACGATGCCACGAGGACCCACCAAGCAGCACGCAGTGAAGGAAGCGAGACAAGATCTGAGCACTCTTTGCGTCGACGAGCAGGAGATGAACGTGAAGCTTAGCATGCTTCGGAACGGCCATTTGCGCCTAACGCTCTCGATATGTTGCAACAATGCCTCCAACTAACCCCGGATCTCGATTTCAGGATTACAGCCGCGGTTGCTTCGAATTTCTTATCTATTTTTACGAATTCCTCCTTTTCCAAGACACATGACCGGAAAACGAAACGCCCTTCCCTTTGTCCTCTCACCGAATCGACGACTAACGAGCCGTGATTTTACGATTGCAACAATGAATTTATTCATTTCGAACCTCATCGGCTTTCATCGTCTCGATCACTTTTCCTTGACTCTAGTTAATGCATGATGATTATTATTGTTTTTTTCTCTCCCCGCCACTGGCAAGACAGACTCTGCTTGACGACAAAGCCCAAAAAAATAAAAAGAAATTTGCGTCTTTGACGTCAAATCAGGGAGGGGCGGCGACATTGCATGACCCCAAACCTGAAGCGAAGATTGTGTGGATCGAGATGGAGGTTGTGTTAACAGCAAAATAGTATTCTTCTTCTTCTTCCTTTTTCCCCTCTTATTATCGGCACTTGCTTTTATCGTGGCCATTGCTTCCCTTAGTCATTGTTTTGCATATCGGCACGGGTGGATGGAATTCATGATTGAGGTTTTTCCCCTTGGTCTTTTCATTTTCATTTTCATTTTTCTCTCTATTTTTTACTGTACTTCAACATGTATACAATGATCGACATGGAGTGGACTGGATGTACGGCTTATCGGGCTCTTATGATATAATTCCCACGTGGACCTTTTTCATTCTTCCTTTTGTGGGTGAGGATGGGGGCTTTCCTTTTGTTTTTCTCTCACGGCTTCATCGCGAATGGAGTGAAGGTAACATAATAATGGGGCATGAGAAGTCATGCGTGCACGGGCGAGGAAACTAATGAACAAGGGGGCATTTTAACTGGTATTTTTGTTTTCCATGCCTTTAAAGGCACTGCGGCTGTGCTAGGGAGTAGGCCGATGGCCACATCGAGGTGCTGAATATAATTTCATGACCTCGCTGAACTCGGTATTTGAGAGAACCCGATGTGCGTGTGTGCATGTGCTTGTGTATGCGTGGAGCATTGAAAGCGCGGAGTAAGATACCGGGGGCGGCTATTCCAGCTTTTTCCCGCACGAAAGTGTTGTAGAGGTCGTCTTGTCTGCATGTCCGGGATCATAGCTAGGTTCTTGCGGAATGCAACTTGATACCAAGCCGGAGCCGTGGCAGGGCATACTATTTTCGCCCGCACTTCTCTGCATTGGATGTGAATTGGCGGATCGTATTTCGAGCTCATTCCTGCATAGAGTTAGACATAGAGAGTAGAGGGCTAGGCTAGGCCTTGAACCTTGACATTGGCCTGAGTATGCCAGCCCGTGCCTAAACCTGCGGAGTTCATATTCTTCCATGTCTTCAAGAAAGAAAGCCTAACCCGCCTCGGCGTGGCGCCCTTTGGTGTGACCTCGACCATTCATGGGGGGGCGGGGCGGCGTTACTGATGGCGCACCACCAAAGGGAAAGAAGTGGGGTCGGGGAGGGTTGGACGAGACGAAAGCAGATTGCACGTCGTCGTGTAGCAGCCCTCGCTTGCAGCACAAAAGGCTTGTTCGACTTTGGCCTCTTTTCTTTCTCACTTTTTTTTTTTTTTTTCTTAGCCTTTCGAGTTTCGGCCCTTCAATCTACATTGAAACAAACGATTGCTGGCTCTTTGGGCCTCCCCGAGCGTGTTACTTTCCCCGGATTAATGCCGGCCCTTTATTGAATGAGGCTGAGGCGGAGATCATTGCACGGAAGAAGGTGGGTGTCGGCGCGGCAGCCTAGAGGTCTCCTGGAGCTGCCGGAGGTGTGGCGCAGGGGAAAAGGGGTGGGTGGTGATGAATGAACAACAGGTCTCCCTGAGGAGGGCAAGGGCAGATGCCAATAAGAGCAAAGTATAGATGAGATCTAAAGTCACGCCCTTCTCCTAAGCCGTCGTCACGGCATGAATATGAAGAGCATTGGCATGTACATATCTTGTTCAACCTGACGGGTGTCAGAAGAATGGAAGAAGTAGAAGCGCCGAGAAGACGATATGAGGACTGAATTCCCTGGGAAAAGAGCGAGGTAACAAGCTTGGGGGTAGCGTATCACATCAACTATGGGATATCCCGGCATGGGTTCAGCGTTCAAACACGAACCGCTTGGCACAATGTGTAAAGTTCAGCAGGCTGAAGTTGAATAAGTCCAAGCCCCGGTCATGAACGACAGCGGGTAGAAAGGCGCTCAATGCTAGGGGGTATCGTCAGGTGTTGGTTCCGGAATAACTGAAAAGCTAAGATGGCCAACAATAAGGAAAGAAGGGAAAACACTGGACACATTCTCTTAAAACATTGAGATCGCTGTGCTGCTCTCTTCTTTTCGGGAAGGAGGGGGTGGATAACACGGGGACAAGGGGGAACCCCTTGTATCTTTGGCGGGACGGGCTTTCGGACTGGACTTCCGCACATATGTTCACGGTAAGGGGTGATCCCTGGAGACGAATGGGCATCGAGGAAAAGGAAAAGAGAAAAAGGGGGAAGAAGAGAATGAAAGGGGAGAGAGCGGGGAATAATACGGGCATTAAGCAAGGATGGGAAACCTATGACACAAACTGGTGGCTTGTGACAGCTATTGATATGGCATTAATACTCTCTCCTTCTTCCTCGGTTACCTTGGCATGGTAACTCCCCAAGCGGCGCTTAAAAGACAGATCAACCTCATCTCCTCCGCATTCGGGTTCGCTCGCGTCGGATCGGCACAAGAACCCACTCCACTTATCCTGCCTTAGCGCATCTTCACCCTGTGGCCGGCGGCCCAAATTATGAAGCATTCTCTTCTCGAGATCAATACCTATTCTTTTGCGCTAGCAGGCGCACGAACGGGGAGTGGGATGGGGAATGAATGATGGGGGTTGGTGGTGCGTAGACCAAGTACCTGAGAAGGGGAAAGAGAGGAGAAGTTCTATATTTACAACCGTGCAGCGCGATCGACTTGGATGCCGGCAGATGCAAGGGCTCGTGCAGTAAGGATACATAAAAGAAAAAGAAAAAAAGTTCGAATGGGAAAGAATGGCGGAAAAAGAAAAAGGGAAAAAAAAACCAATAAAACTAGCCGGATAGGGAGAGCGGGTGGTGGGGCTAAACGATGGGGGAGATTGTATACTCAAAAGAAGCAAACCAACGAAGACGCCCATTCGAGCGCAGAGGAGGGAGGAAGGCGGAGAGGGGCAAAGAGGAAGAAGAGGGTCAACAAACAGCTTCGGAAGAGAAAGAGCGGGCGGACACGGGGGTGGCGTCTCACAAGACAACCTTGCCTGCACAATTCGCGCGTGCCGCGTCCGGGGGTAGGACCTCCGCTGTGGTACTGTCTGCTTCTAAAATTGTCACCATGAAAAAGCTGTAAGCGCCCTGGCGGCTTTTCTTGCACCGTCTGGTTAAACTTTTTAGCGTCTTTGCATCATTGCACTACGCCGGAAGAGGACAAGCCATACCCTAGTGGACGGAGTGTCAGGCCGGGAGCTTGAGCCAAGGAAACGCCTGATTTGAGTGAATGAACCAAAGACTGCAAGTACACAAGAGGCGAGAGACAGTAGTGGTGGGTGAAGGGGAAAAAAGGGGTGTGTGCGCAAAAGAAGTGAGACCGGGGGTTGTGTGGTAGATGTCATCGTGCTAGCGGCGCACGGTCCGGGTCCGATCCTCCATCATCAATTGATCGAACGCTCATTCTTCTTTTTCTCATCTCAATTCAACTTCGAGAAGGCGTGCCCTTGTCGGCGAGTGTACTCAGACCCTCTTTGCCCATTGCTACCTATCATTACGTGCACTTCACCCTCTCTCTCCCGAATTTATGTTTCTAATTGATTAGGTACCTGACGTGAGGAGGGCGGGAATTTGGTGCGGGGACGGACGTGCCTCCTTGATGACCGAATGTGGAAATGTATGCTGTTTAAATTCAGTGATGAGGAGGCTTTGAGAAAAACGATGAATGGGAAGAGGACAGCATGTGCCAGTTTGGGAAATGAGTCGAGGTGGAACTGTGGGCAGAGGACCTTTGAGGCATGTGTGGGTAGCGTCAGTGTGGTAGCTCCTTCCCAGAACGGGGAAGCCCTCCCTGAAAGTGTGGGTGGTGGCTTGCTTGTCCTGCGAGTCAGTCGTGTGTCCAAGCCGTCCAGCCACTCGGGCATTTTCTTTGGCGCCCATGCCTTCCACCCTTCGCATTTCTAGCCTAGAGCAGTCTATTTTCGGAGGCATGTCACATCTCATAATTTCTTTCTTTCCACCTCCATGTACCTCGGTATTCAATTTGTGTTCCCCCTTCTCTCTTGCTGCTCCCGATGAGATTTCTCATGCCCCTGCACCCTGGGGAAACCAGAACTGGGGAGCGGGTTCTTCCATACTTGGAGTATCTCTGGCCCGAGCCATCATTGGCCGAACATGGGGACCTCCATAGTAACTCCATCCTTGGCTCACGAGGAGAGAGCCTTGGAGCAGATGAGCGACAGGAACCAGCCTCAGTGCCATGCAAGCTACAAGTACTCT